CCAGTAAGATTGGCAGCCATTAGGAAGTCAAACAACAACAAGTGCTGGCGAGGATGTGGGGCAAAAGGTACACTTGTACATTGCTGGTGGGACTGCAGATTGGTGCAGCCAATTTGGAAAGCAGTATGGAGATTTCTTGGAAAGCTGGGAATGGAGCCACCATTTGACCCAGCTATTCCCCTTCTTGGTCTATTCCCTAAAGACCTAAAAACAGCATGCTACAGGTACACTGCTACATCGATGTTCATAGCAGCACAGTTCACAATAGCAAGACTGTGGAACCAACCTAGATGCCCTTCAATAGACGAATGGATAAAAAAATGTGGCATTTATACACAATGGAGTATTACTCTGCATTAAAAAATGACAAAATCATAGAATTTACAGGAAAATGGATGGCATTAGAGCAGATTATTCTAAGTGAAGCTAGCCAATCCCTAAAAAACAAATGCCAAATGTCTTCTTTGATATAAGGAGAGTAACTAAGAACAGTGTAGGGATGAAGAACAGGAGAAGAAGATTAACATTTAACAGGGATGAGAGGTGGGAGGGAAAGGGAGAGAGAAGGGAAATTGCATGGTAATGGAAGGAGACCCTCAGGGTTATACAGTGGAGGGGGTAGAGAGAGAGGAGGGGAGGGGAGGGGAGAGGTGGGGAGGGGGGAGGGTGGAGGATGGGAAAGGCAGCGGAGCACAACAGACACTAGTATGGCAATTTGTAAATCAATGGATGTGTAACTGATGTGATTCTGCAATCTGTGTATGGGGTGAAGGTGGGAGTTCATAACCCACTTGAATCAAAGTGTGGAATATGATATGTCAAGAAATTTGTAATGTTTTTGAACAACCCACAATAAAAAATTAAAAAAAAAAAGAAAATTATAGGCCATAATATAAACTCTTCACTTTATAAACAAACAAACTGGGGTTCAAAAGGTGAAGTCGGAAGTAGCTCTGAAATCACAATCAATTTTCTTCATTTTCAGGACTAAACCTATTCTACTGTAACAAAATCAGGTGGTTGTTTATTTAGGTTTAGTCATAAGGGCTTTTAATTTACTACACATAATGTTCTGATATAGTTAAAGGTTTTAGGTTTCAGGAGAGTAATAAGTAGACCAGTTATTTTCCACCCAAGTGTTTTATGTCAGCTTTGGTGGCTGCCACCAAGTTAGAGCTGCCACATTTCACAGGTAGGAAAGATCTAGTTATCCTCAAGCCTATGAACAACAACAAAAAAAGCAGAATATACTTAATATTTTCATTGATAGATATGTTTAAGTGAAATAACTAATTTAAAAATTGAAATTGACATTCAGGTAAGTGGAAGCAGAACTACTATTTCCCTTTTTCCCACCCCTGTCAGCACACATCTGATCTGTTTAGTAAATTGCCCAAAGAACAGCAGAATGTTTTCTGTTCTCAGCATGGAAGACAGTAGTTCTAAGTCCTCACCTTTTGCAGTGACTTTTAGAATAAAAAATAAAAATACATATTTGGGGCCAGCACAGCTGCCCCCCTCCACCCAGAGATTCTCATTTACAAGGTTTAAGGCTGCATGTATGTGTGGAACAGTGTAACTACTTACATTAACCATTTTATTACCTTGATCCCTGAGGACATTCCTGTTTATAGTGGTGTCTGTTCTTGAAAAATGTGGAAGCAATTCCTGAATCTCCCATAGCATCCTCAGAATCACAGCTGAAGCTTCCCTGTAGCTTTATTCTATATACCTCCTTGAAACTCTGACCCTATTTAAAATCTATTTTAGAAGTTTCACAAGCGTTTCAGAGTCCAGAAGATAAGTCTTGGAACTAAGATACAGATCCAAACCTGTGATAAAAACCTCTGTTCCAATAATATTGAGCCTGGTGTCTTAGATGTCATGGAATCAGCAGAATCAAACTGGAAGCTAATTCTGAGAATCATAATAATTCTTAGAAAAACTCTCAGGGTAGATTTCTCTGAAAGAAACAAAGGGTGAAGGGAAAGCTAGCTGACCCCCCCTCACCACCCCGTGCCTTAGCAACACTGGGAAAGAGGACCAACCCCTCACCTCGCCCCATCTTCCCCCCCAAATGCTATGAAATGACTGGAATCCATAAGGGATTCCAATGCTCAAAACAGCATTCAAAAACACACAAAGGAAGACAAGTCCAGTACTTCACACCAACAGCTTGATCACCAATGAGGCTGACACCAAGAGAATCAGGCTGGCTGTGAATATTAGCAACCCTTTGCAGAGGTGGGAAGCCACAAATTAAAAACCACTCCTGGCCATGAGGAAGCATCAGAAGACAGTGAGCCTTGCTGACAGGTGAGCAGCCTCAGTGGTTTTTTCTCTGGGCTTAAATGTGCACTTCCATTCTGCAAACCGATGACTTTGGCTTTGTTGTTGTGACTCACTGTCTTGGTAGCATGCCTAGCTTGCTCCCCAGATACCCTCGTGGAAGGCAACAAATTCAAATGCCTACAAGGTCCAATCAACAGAATAAACAAGTGATGTGGACGCCTTGGGAACTCTGCAAACTGAAGAGTGAGTGAATGTCTTATTCATAGGGGGTAGTCCTTGCTTAGTCCCAGCTGTTGTAGTAATGTAGTAATGTGGGAACCAATCTTCCACTTGTCGATGAGAAACTGAACTTGTGAGTTTTTCAAATGTAAAATCTCCCACAATTAAAAGTTAGACTAAAAAAGTATGTGGGCCAAATAAAAAATACCTACGTCATTGATTCAGCTGTTGACTTCCATTTTCAACCTCTATCCTAGTGCTAGAGTCTTGTGTTATTCTTCTTTCATGTCAATTTCTATTTATCCATATTTTTAAAAACTCTTTAATTTCTGGACTCCAGCCCAGGACACCAGAACATAGAATCTGCCATAAGATTACCCTGAGGGTATGTTTTGGAAGATCTAAGAGGTCTGGCCCTGGATTCTGCTAAATTATCAAGATGCTCTTTCTTTCCTTTTGTTGGGACCTCAAAATCTGATAATTAATGCAGACTACAACCAACATGTCTCCATGCCCCCAGGTCTGCCTGTGGCTAAGCCTGCTCCTACCTAGCCCTGTGAGATTCCAAACCCTCTCTATCTCTCCTGCCATACTGCAAGTAACAAGGCATCATTAAGTCTATTCTTAGAAGAAATAATAATTATAATTGGGTTTCCCAGCCAGGTGCTGTGTTCTGGAACCATTCTAAATGTTTCATGTGAATTACCCCACTTTATATTTCCTACAACCTTGCAAATGCAATTTCATAAGAAACCTGAGGTCAGAGGAACTACACATCTCATCCAATTTGGCACATCCATTGAGTGGATGTTCTGAGATTAAACTCAACTTTGAAGCCTGTATCTACTCTACTGTCCTACATGGGAGATAAATACAGGAGAGTTGGGGATAGGTATTTCTACAAGGGGAGACACTCTTTGATGTTCTTCCTCAATTTTATGCTTTGAAACCTTAAAATATTATAATTTTACAACTTTATCACTTTGTATACATAGTTACCTGTGACTTTTGCATCATTACTATTTCAGAATATATTTGGGATTTTAGGGGGCATTAATATCTCCAAATATATTTTACGGGGAGTATAGGGCTGCCAAATTTCCATTTTGCCAAGTAAGGATGCTTCTACACCTATAAATTAGCATCATTATTACTTCATTAAATGAAAATTATTTTAATGTACAAACATACACACATGCATGTGCACACACACACACACACATACATGACTAGTATATCATGAAACAAAGACTGCTATTAACCACTGCCTTCAATCATGATGGATGTGTATGTGTGCACATGGAGTTCCCAGACAATTGTGCGATGTTGCAAAAGTTTTCCTGGGAGACTATTATTTGGAACTTAAAAAACCTTATTCCACAAAATAAAAGAAAGCTATAATATTATGACTACAAATATTATTATGATTAGATACCAGGACATAGATAGCAGAGGTTAGATCTAGCATATCTTCAAGTTTGTTTCTGTTTTATTTATTTATTTATTTATTTATTTTTTAATTTTTTGCTGTTTTGTATATGAGATAACTGAGACTCTGGGAAGTTAAATGATTTCCTTAAATAACACACAAGTTTAAGCAGAGTCAAGGACAGATGTGAATTTTACTGATACCTACTTCAGTTCTTTTATACATCACCAGAGACAATAATAGTATACTATCATTTTAACAGCATTATTAGTGAAATAGACTGGGGAGAGGGTAGTTTTGAAAATTAACCAAAAATGGTTTGTGGAAAAATGATAGAGATGGAAACATAGCTGTCAACATAAACACATTCTCTTCTGCACATCGCATCTCCACCAACTATCCAGGCCAGGGAATATAGTATGATTCTCAAGGGAGAATCTGCTCCCATCCCCCAGAAAGGTAGACTCCTTTGATTTTTGCATGTGAGAAGTTTACGAATCTGTGTGCTCTGAGTATGTTTGCAACCATATCAGCAGTCAATTAAGACTGAAATTGGGTCACTGATGTGTTACCAGGGAATAGCTATTAGCATAACCCTTAATTGGAATCCTATTTACTGTTCTGTTGGCTTAGCATCCTCCCTCTCCTTTCATCAGAGCTGTAACATGAAAAGATCATTTGAGTCCAGGAACCTGCAGAGAAACAAGAGCACACAACTGCACACACTTGTAAAATTCAAATATATTATCTCTTTCAGGGGATGGTAATCAATGTATTAAACTAAGAAAACTTCAAATTAAGGAATAAATGTGGCCACAGACATTAAAAGACTCTAAACAATGAATTTGCTTATAATTGCTCTAAATTTATAATTATTAGCCCAGTCTCTCTTATGATATGGGACATATGTGTGTATGTATGCATGTATATACATATGTACACAAACACATATATATATATATATAGATAAAACATTTTCTATAACATATAGGTAATAAAGAGGGATTTAGGAAAACAATAACAGGGAAAGTGTTTATACATATGAAAAGTAGCAACATACTTGAGAACTTCAATTTTCTTCTCCATCTTCCAAGGTTTGCATTTAACGGTCGCAATTATTTGTCTCTTTTCATCTAACTCTGCCTTCAGTCTTTCCAATTCCTCTGCATCAATTTCCTCTTCTTCTTCCCTATAAAGGAAAGAAAAAAAACATAAGATAGGCTTTGCTTGACTTTTACACTTACAAAGACTAATATCAGATGCTTAGCCTCCCCCCACCCCCGCTTTTTTTTTAACTCATCTGGAGACAGTGCTAAGACCCATAAGCATTACAACCCACATCTGAACACTGTTGCAGGTGACTGGGATTCTCATGACTTTAAACAATAGTGTTGACATGCTGATGTCCTGAGAATAAACTCTTCTTTTATATCTACAGCTTTGGGTTGTCAGAACTAGAAAAATCTATGGAAAGGATAGATCTATAAGGTTCCTGATCTATAAGGATATTTCCCGCTCCTCTCTGTTCCCTATATACCTTTCCTCCCCAATTTTACATCCGGATTTTAAAACTTTATTTTTCAACAAAAATTTAAAAATTAGAGGTGGAGATGTATTTGAAATGCCTTCAATTTTTTTAAGTTAACCCTGTCTCAAGAAAATGAGGGAAAAATTGCAATAGGGAAGAATAAAAATCTGTCAAAGGCAACCTAATCTGTTAATTAAACTCAAAACCTCAATTGATAAAATTCAACTTTTAAAATATATTTGGTGGAAGCAAATCCTTTGAAGACACTTTCAAAGAAATTTAGTTTCTCACCAAGCAAATGAAATGTTTCTTTTCTGTGTTCTTAGTATTACAAAAACCTCATAGGGTCCAGAAATTGAAGAAAAGAAAATCTAAGCATGAGTGACATGATTTCCACTGGAGGAATATAACACTATATTGTAGAAATAAATTTTTTTGGTCATAGATTGTTTCAGTTATGAAGCTACTGTCTCAATGCCAACATAACCTTTTATATTTACTATTGTGATAATGGGGTTGGGACTGTAAATAACATTTTTGCTTTAGCACCTGGCTCAATTTTATACTTAGACAGGAGATACTAAGAAGTGACTCCGTCTTTTCCAGCTGCTTCCTGTGGCTTCCAGGGCTACTTCCTGTCTGTTCCTTGGGTAACACTTCCTCCTCCACTCCAGGAACTGAAGGGGCTTTCCACAGCTGCAGGTAAGTCTAGTATGCCAGTTGTGCCAACTATAGCAGAATCCATTTCACCACCTTTCCCACAGGGACCAGTCCTCTGAGCTTAGGCCCCTCTGCAGAGGTCTTCATCTCCTGGGGGTTAGCACCCTAGGTCCCTCACTATACTTCCAAATTTTCATTTCAGTTTTTCCATTGTTCTTTCATCCCTTGACTGGCTGTTGCTTCCTGTAGTTGCTACCACCATACTCTAGTTCTCTTTTTGCCTTTTCAGTAGGCTAATTAAAAATTATTTTATTTATAACTCCTAACTCTTAAGCTCTCTGTTCAATTAGTTGTTGACATATCTCTCCTCGCTAGACCCAGACTGATAAAAAATTATAGATTATTCAGTGTTACTCAGAGGCACGCTTAGTTGTTCACGAAACTCATGATCAGACAGTGGGAATATGATAAATCTATTTTTAAATTATTAATCATAACACAAGAGGACATAACCATAGTTTTACCGCCCACCCTAGAAAATGACTATGCAATCCTTTCTTTCTTTGCTACCAATCCATAGTTTTTAAATTATTCAATTTTTGTTTATAAAAACAAAAATTTGTATTAACCCTCTAAAATAATACCTCCTATTCATAATTTGTATTTTAAACAATTTAAATAACCAAGCCATAAAATATTTAATATTTTTTTACTACACCTACATTCATAGTTCTTTGTATCTTCCTTGTTTGCCAATTAGAATCATATGTAGGCTGGTTTATCTTAGGAGGGAAAAATATGTTTTAATAAGAATAATTGAAATCATCACCCTATAGATGTATTTACATCAAAATTAAACAGATAAGTGTTTTACTAAAAACAAATAAAACTAGAAAAAAGTAAAATTTCAAGAAACTATCAATAATAGAGTATATTAGAAAAGAAAAAGAGCTTTAACTTTAATAATTTTATTATTTGATATTTTAAGCTCTTAGCTTTCTTACCTTTACAAAAAAGTTCATGATATTTTCATGTAAACACTTAAAACTTTACATTGCCAAGCTTCCAGTAAGAATCATATATAAAACAGCATCTTATTTAATTCAACATCATCAAAGAATAAGACAATAAGCTATTTAATATGTAGATTTACCACGGTGCCAAATCATATTTCTACATATGCCACTTTTCAGAACCATTTAATAGAAACCTTCTAACATTAATGTTTTATATGCTTAGCCTATCCAAATTCTTATAAATTCTTATTCCTTTAAAAATCATAGGAAGTATCTTTAGTAGCCTCTCTTCTGATTATCCTTGTGAGAATGGTTTTTACTTCTCTAAGACTCCACACCGCTTGTTTTATACTTCTTTGGCATATAAAATTATTTCAAAATAATATGTGTTGAAGTGGCCTCTTTTTGTTGCATTATGAATTTATGGAGCTAGATAAATATTTATTGAATAAATGTATGTGTTTAAAACTTTCTTGGATGATTTTGAGTTATCATCCTGAATCAAAGTGCACTAAAATATAACAATGCCCTGAAAGATTAATATGTGTGGAAAGACATTTATTCCTGTACTAAATGATCCCAGACAGGTATATTTTTAAAAAGTCTTTGTTGTTAAGTGTTGATTGCTGTCAGGAGGAGCATGCTGTGCTTCAGGGTACCATGGCTGAAAGATAAGTTACCTTCGAATATGCAAGTAATTAAAATATTACTCTCACCAACATTATAGAGAAACTTCTTCTCTAGGAACCACTCAAAGAAAGGGCTAATCATATGAAGAAGATCTAGCCTACATGTTTCATCTTCTAAAATATAGGGCTAATCTATGCAAGAAAGGCTCTCTATCTTAAGTTTGATTAAACAACCTTTGTTAGGAAAAAGAAGACATAATATGCTAAATTTCTCTCTACTATAAATATATTACTTATTCTCTTAAAACTGGGTCAGGAAAAGTATGTAATATTATTAGAAATACTCCAAAATGTCTAACAAGGCAGTATTTTTTAACTGTCTCTAAAGATAGTTAGTTTCACAACCTTAGTTTTAGTTGGTTTAAAATGTTTTGTCAGTGCAAGAGAAATTCTCTAAGGCATTACTTGAACATTTAAATAAAAAAGACCCTGAATTAATTAACCTAAATAAATGTGCCCTGATTTGCCTACTAATTTTCTTCAAAATATATTTGCTAATAAATTTTATTTAAAAAAAAGATTCTTACCTTTAAAATAAACAATAGAAAATAGACCCTAAAATATTGATCAGAACTATCAGTAATCATAAATAACTGATGATACTATTTGGAATAAATACAGATTGTGGCAATAATAATATAATTTGCAAAATCTATGGAAACAAAGCTCGGCTATGTGGAGGAATGGGAAGATAGGGAGGCAAGGGAGGCACATATGAGTCATTGTGGGCTTTTTAAAATCAAGATAGATAGAGTGGGACTAGCTAAAGAGACATTGGCATAGCAACAAGATTCAGCTGACTCATGTGGCTCTATTTCCTAGAGGTAGAGCATTTGACATGAGGTTCCTAAGCACATTAGAAAAGCTAAGAAATTCCCACCCAGCTTACCTTTTTAGAAGGAATTTTTCATGGGTATAAATAAAAAGGAAAAGCAAATTCTGAAACATAGCTGGAATCATGCATATATTTGTTAATGATGCTTTTTTCAGTGAACTATCACTGTCTGAAAGCATAGACTTTGCTAATATGACATATTTCTGTATAATAATAGTATTAACAATCGTAATATGAGGAACTTAAAATTGCATTACAGTTTATTTTTGCAAGGAGAAAAGCTTCTTGAAAAGAAAATACAAATAAAAGTATCAGATTCAAGTTTAAAGCAAGTGATGTATTAGTACTCAGAGAAGACGTGGTGGAGTTCGGGGAGAAGTAAGGGAAAAAAAGAAGATAGGAGAAGGGACATGTAAAAATTTAAACTACAACAAAGTAGAATTGGGTGGGGTTGCTTTTGTTCTAAAAGCAAAAATGGTCTATTAATGCTAAGCTTCTCTACCACAATTTTTAGACGGTTACATTTCACAGCCATTATTTATGAGGAGTAATATAGTAGAGTTATAATATAAGACACTGGAGTGTCTTGGGAGGATATCTGAGAAAGTTTTTCATCATTTTAAGTCCAAAGCATATCTGAATTCTACTGCCTATTATGATTCACACAGCCCTATTGCCTTTGTGTAGCAACTAGGTTGGCAGGACCCTTTAATCCTTTCCAAGGGATCTGATTTTCTATCATGGAAGTGTTTTATGGGCATACTTTCCCTTCCTACCTGCCAACTGAAAATTTCTAGAAAGACAAGGGTACTAGTCAGCTTTTAATTGCTGTGACAAATAAAAAAAAAAAAAAAAAAACTTAGAGGAGGAAAGGTTTATTTTGACTCATGATTTCAGAGATTTCAGTTCACCACCCATTAACTCCATTATTTTGGACTGAGGTGCATCAGAACATCATGGTGGAAGGGTGTGGCAAAGGAAAGCTGCTCGGTTCATGGCAGCTATGAAGCACAGAGAGAATGGAGCCAGGTATAAGAATATCCTTCCACAGCATGCCCCCAAGGAACTACATCCTTCAACCATGCCCTACCTGCCTATAGTTCCTTCCAGTCATCCATTTAGTTATCAATGACTTCATCCACTGGTCCAATCACTTCATCCTTCATGATCCAATCACTCCCCCCAAAGCTCCCCCTCTGAATATTGCTACATTGAGGACCATGAGATTTGGGGAACATTCAAAATCCAAACCATAACACCAAGAAAAGTAAATAATTATCTTGAATTTTTTTATAAATAGCTTTAAATATATTACTCTTTACAAAATCAGCATTCACTAAAATGTTGGAATTAAAGATGTTGGGCTATATTAAACAATGAAATGATAACATCAATCCTCTATAACAGAGGCCAACACAATTTCTTTCTGTCAATATCCAAGTTGTTAATATGTTATGCTTTGACTAATACATATAATTCTGTCCCATATTCTTTTCTGCTTTTTTATTATTATTAATTATGCCTTTAAAACTATAAAAAAAAACATTCTTAGCTTTTGGACTACATTTACCTATAGTATGCAACCCCTTCTCTATAAGGTAAAGTTATTTGACTCACTCCTTAGGAGTTTTCTACTTAACTTAGATAACAATGTATACAATTAATGGGATAATTTTCAAATATCTTCTTCATTATAAATTCTAATGACCTATGACAACTTGAATCTTTCATAAAGTAATTTCTCATAGTCCATTTTTAGTATATCTTCATTTTCAAATTTATTTCAATTATTAAAATCTGTTTGATTAAGTGAAATAAAATGGCAGGATCAGTTTAAGCCTATCTTTCTAAAATTAGTTTTAATTACCAGCTTTAAGACCACCTAAAAGGAGTGGTCTTCCTCCAGTGTCAGGTGCTTTTTAATCACTAATGCTTTCAGTTATATATCAGGACTAACTTACGCTCCTCTTTTCAACCTCCTCCTTCTTTCTTTTTCTCTTGCCTTCCTTGTTTCTTCATCCTCTGGTTCAGGTATTGGGTCATCCTCATTGATAACATCTCTGGTCCGTTTCCTCTTTGGTCTCAAACTCTCTCTTCTAGGTAGCTTTTCTTCTTCTTCTTCACCTGAACACACAAATTGATGATTCAATGAGCAATATCAGAAAGTTCTCTTTTTCACAACAAAGTTTATTCTTACTTTTTTATAACTAGTGTCATACATCTGAGACCACAACCCCACAATTAATTGTCTAAATAAATTGTTTAAATAAATTTATCTAAATTTTCATTTCTTTTGTAGGTCTTTTACTCAAATATGTGAATATGGGTCTCAAAATATTATTATTTCTTAGAGTTCCAGTTTTTATTTATTTGGATAACTAGATGACTTTGAGTTTAGTATCATACCACGACTTTTAAAGCCATGTAAATATGAGAGGTTACAAAGCCAACACAAGTGGTTGAGTTATAACTACCATGTGCATATTACTGCCACTGTCTTAGAATAAAGAATAGGACTCACAAGAGAGTGCTACAACTAGAATAATTTTAGAGAAATTCAGTCAGCCCTAGAGATAACTTCCAATTCAGATTATCCATGTCCTTCTACTGGTTTTTTATTTGCTTTGTTTATTTCCAAGATGGGGAGTGGGGGTGGGATCTTACTATGTTGCTCAGATTCCTAGGCTCAAATTCCTAGGCTCAAGTGATCCTCCTGCCTCAAGCTCCCAAATAAATAGATAGGACTACATATGCACACCAACACACCCAGCTTTTCTTCATTTTTGACTCTAAATATTTCTTTCCTCTTTTTTCAAAACACTTCTTGTCCCTTTAAAAATAAATGTGGTAGTATACATATTAACTTAATTCACTGTTAAATTCCATCAAACATTTGAAGAAAAATTAAAGTTAATTCTTCTGAAATACTTCATTACAGTGAAAAGGAGGGAGCATTTCCAAACAAATAATGTAAGGCTTGCATTACCCTAATGCCAAAGACAAAGATACTGCAATTAAAGAAAACTTCTTGTCTAATATTCCTGGCAAATAAAGATGCAAAAATTATGAACAAAATTCAATAATTTAGTAAAATGGTAATACAGCACAACCAAGTGGGTTTTATCTCTGGGATATGAGAATTGTTGAACATACAAAAATCAAATAATAGATACTCTACATTAACAAAATAAAGGATAAAAATATAGGTCATAGCAATAGATGGAGAAAAAGTATTTAACAAAATTGAATACTTCTATGCAAAAACTTTCAACAAACTAGGAACAGAAGGAATTTACCTCACTATAATGAAGTCTAAGGCCAACAAAATATTCATTTTTGTTTGTTTGCTTGTTTGTTTTTCTAAGATCAGGAGCAAGGCAAAGATGCCCACTCTCAACATAGTACTAAAAGACCTAAACAGAACAATTAGCCTAAAAAACAGAAGAAAGAAAAAAAATAGTATTCAAATTGGAAAAGAAAAATAAAACATCTGAAATAAAAATTTGCAGAGGACATAAATTTTGTATGTAGAACATCCTGAAGACTCCACAAAAATCTATTATAATAAATAAATAAGCTTGTTAAAAATTTTACAAAACAAAAGTAACACAAAAATTGTTGCCTTTCTATACACTAACTATGAACAAACTGAAAAGAAAATTAATGGAGGAATTACATTTACAATACACGGAAAAGAATAAAATATTTAGGAACAGCTTATGCAATGAGGTTCAACTTATACTTACAATATAAATACTTATTTACTGGAAATTATAAAGTGTGATGAGTCAAGTTAAAGATGGCACAAATAAATGGAAAGATATACCATGTTCATGAATTGAAAAATTTAGTATCATCAAAATATTCATACTATTTAAAGATTCAACACAATCCCAGTCAAAAATCTGTCATCATTTTTACAGGAATAGACTGAAATTCCGAAAGTTTATATGAAACTAAAAATGATCCCAAATAGCCAAAACAATTTTGATTAAGAATGACAAAGATGGGAGCATCATACCACCACCTTATTTCAAAGTAAATTACAAATATATATTAATAAAATATACATATAGATCAGTAGAACAGAGCAGACAGTCCCAAAATAAATCTATGTATATTTGAGAAGGTTGTGAGGAATACACAAAGGGGAAATAATAATTTCTTCAACATATAGCATTGGATGCATTGAATATCTCTATATAAAAAAACTGAATATCTATAAACAAAAAAACTAAATTAGATGCTTATTTTATATTATACACAAATATCAATTAAAATATATTAAAGATTTAAATGTAAGACATGGAATTGTAGAATTCCAAAAAGAATCATGGGAGAATATAATATTGATTTTTGTAAGGATTTATTGGACATGGCAACAAAAACAAAAATAGATAAATAGGACTTAATCTAATTAAAAGCTTCTGTACATCAAAGGCAACAATCAAAAGAGTGAAAAGGCAACCTCTAGAATGGGAGTAAATATTTGCAAACCATATATCTAATAAGGGATTAATATTTAAAATATGCAAGGACTTCTGTAATGAAATAGTAAAATGAAAATAGGAGTAATAGTCCATTTTTTTAAAATAGCCAAAAGTCTTGAATAGAAGTTTCTCTAAAGAAGAAATACAAATGACCAACTGGTATTAAGAGATGTTCAATATCACTAACTACTAAGAAAGGCAAATCAAAACCACAATGAGATGCTAGCTTACATGTTTTAGGATCCATCAATTATTTATCCAAAAGAATTTAAATCAGGATCTTTTAATTTATTCTAATTAGTTATACAGGACAGTAGAATATATTTTGATACATCATATATAATGGAGCATAATTTCTCATTCTTCTGGTTATACATGATGTAGAATCCCAGGGGGTCTTATAGTTATATATGTACATAGGGATATAATGTCTGATTCATTCTACATCCTTTCTACCCTCATACCCTCTCCCCTCCCTTTACTCCCCTCTACCTAATCTTAAGTAACTCTGTTCTTCCATAGCACATCCTCACTGTTGTGAATTAACATATGCATATCAGAGGAAACATTAAGCCTTTTGTTTGTGGGGATTGGCTTGAAATTAGGATCTTCAAGAGACACTGTCATTCCCATGTTGATTGTAACACTACTCAACAATAGCGAAGATATAGAACCAACCTAAATGATGATCAACAGATAAGTGAAATAAGAAAATGTAGTATATGCATACAATGGAATATTCAGGCTTTAAAATGCAGGAAATTTTACTATATGTAATAATGTGGATGAACTTTGAGGATATTATACCACGTGAAATAAGTCAGTCACAGAACAAACAATGCATGATTACACTGACATGAGGCATCTAAGTTGCTTAAACTCAAAAGCAGAGAAGGGAATGGTGGTTGCCTAGGCACCAAGGAAAAGGGAAGTTATTGTTCAATAGAAATAAATTTGCAATTATCAAAAAAAAAAAAAAAGTTCTTAAGAATCTGCTATAAGTCACAGTGCCTATACAAGTTAGTCATCTGTATCCTTGTGTTACACATCCACAGATTCAACCGATCTCAGATTGAAAATATTCAGAAAAATAACTGCTTTAACTGAATGTGTACAAACTATTTCCTGTTGCTATTCATAAATGACAGAGTATAACAACTAAATGCTCAATTAACAACTTGAGCATCTCAGGATTTTAGCATCCACTGGGATCCTGGAACTAATCCCCAGCAGGTACTGAGCACTATAGTTAGCAATACTGTTTTGTACACTTTTTTGTTAAGAAGATAGATCTCATATTGTGTGCTGTTATAACAATTAAAATTTAAAAAATACTGAAAGCATATTAACCAATTTGACCTTGTATCATTTATAGAAAGTCTACCTAACAACACCAAAACATACATTCAGGGCACACTGAACATCCACCAGAAAAAAATCATATTCTGGCCCATGAATAAGTGTTAGTACATTTAAGGTTGGCACCATATAAGGCATTATTTCAACCACAGTGAGCTAAATTTTAAAGTAGCTGTTAAGAACTTTTTAAAGGGTAACGATAGATAGGTGAGGGAAATGGAATTCGGAAATAAATTGGCTTGAAATCATTAAAAAAAAAAAACCTGAACTATTAAACTTGCAATATTTTACCCATGGATGAAACATACATCTGAAGTCAGAATTTGACAAGGATCTGACTCCTATATAAGGAGGCACCTATATTAGGAGGCGTGTGTCAGATCCAGAGAATGGAAGAATTGGAATGTTATTTCCTTCAGAGCCCTTCTTCCACCCTTATTCAGATAACCTTCCCCTGCTCCAACCTGTTACTAAGGTAACCTGTCTCCAGGATGTCCCTCCCTACAGAGAGTTGTTAATTGTGCCCCTATCTGCCCAGATCACTCCAACTTATCATCTGCAGCCCATCTGCTGCTCACCTTTTGTCCATCCCACAGAGCATCTCCTGGGCCTAGTCAAGTACACAGGAAGGAGAGAGATAAAGGGAAGCAGGAAAACAAAGGAAGCCTAGGACCTATAAAAAAGGCAGAACGCCTGCTTCTTGGGATACCAGGATACCAGCTATGGCCCCCTTCTCCCTCCCGGGAGAAGTCTATGTTACCCCTTTTTAAATAAACCTTGCTTTAAATGCTTGCCTTGGCGTGCTTCTCTAATGTTATACTTCAACATGTGAGGGAGCAGAACTTGTCACTGGTAACCGTGGGTATCACATCGTTCAATGAATTATTATTTAGAAACAGAAAGTAGTCTTTAATACCTTATCTGGATTACACGTTTTAAATTCTAAAAAGTGAATGTTTTATGTTTACCTACTAAATGCAGACTGGTTTGCAATGCTACCCTTTGGAATGGACTTGGTTCTCTACTAAGGTCATGCTACCAGGATCTATGTGAAATTCTGGGCTCTTTTCATTTAGGAGGCACCTATATAATCAAAACAATTGGCATTGTGAGCATTCACTGGCTGCCTGGCTATGTTCTGGATATTGAACTGATAGTTCCAGTGTCCCCTAATTGAAATCTTTTTTAGAGGCTGCTTTGTTTCTTTCTTTCTTTCCCCCCCCCCAAATCAAAGTTTTTGCTCATATAATGGTCAATGGTCTTTCTCATGTTCCTGTCCATGAATGGTCTGGTACCTGAAAAGGGGTCACAATTCATGCTCTTGAGATGAGCCAACACAAAGTAAAACAGAGCAATTTGGAGACAATACCCATGAATTTGGTACCAAAAAAATAAATAAAACATATTCTTTCATTTTAATTGAACCACCTGGTCAGCTCATTCAAAATAGCCAATCTGTTCTATTGGATAGATTCAGTCTTAGAAAAAACCATTTTATAGACAAAGGCATTTCCAGGGAAAAAAGGTGAGTAATAAAAAACCAAAATGTTATGAACTACCATCTAATTGATCATGGTCAAATTATAAACTGGGTAGATGTGGATGTGTACCAATTGAATAAAACCTAGAGTGAGGATCATTCTTCTGGACTTAATCCCTCTTGTGAGACCATCAAAAACCACTCACACACAGGAGTCCTTATATGTGATGATCCAAGCCCACAGGTGACAGCATCACCCCCTGAATTTATTGCTGTCCACAGGACGCATACCAAATGGCCTTATCCCTTCTTACTTGAGCTTTCCTCGGTGTCATCTTCTTTTTCCTCAACTTGGATTTTCACTGTTGAAGAAAGAACAAAAGTATAGCAGTTACTTAAACAGCTGTATGATTATTTGTAAATGGTTCTTAACTTTTATTATTTTCATTGTTAATGTTTTTGTGCAGTTAATAAAAACATTTTAGTTCACTTGTCAAAATGAACATTACCTTATACAGCCCTACATAAAGATTCTATTTCATTGCCTTCAGAGATTTGCAAAACATACCAGCCATGAGCCTATTGGCTCAATACAAAATAACTTCAATGAAAATAAATTCTAAATGAAAATTCTATATTACAATAGGTACATTGGGGTTTACTGAGTCATTTCATTTTATAAGAAATTGAATTGCTAGCAAAGCTATAGGCACATGCCCAAACAAATTAGGTTATTATAACCAAATTAACTACTTAAAAATAGAAAATAATTCATTCCAACCAGTTTCACCAAGCATCAAAAAATCTGTAGAAAAAAAAAATGCTTAAAGTCTGATCTTTCCTATTTCAAATATTCCTACAGGTATTACATTGATCCGGCTTAAATTTGCCAGTACATGATTCACCTTGTTAATATTAAAATTGGTGATTTTCTAGTTCAATATAATATAACACTTCTGTTTATTACCCACCCCAAACTTGTACAGTCTGTTTTTTCTGTTTTGCTTCATTTTTACAAAGGAACATATAGGTTTTATAAAAACTTAATGTTTTCACTAATGTATGCATTGGTCACAGTTCTAGTAAGTCACCCAGAGACAGAGCTCTATGACTTGCCTTGGTTAAAAAATGAAAAGTACACCATTCCTTAAAAAACAGAGTCTAAATTGGACACAGTAGTTCACATCTATAATCCCAGCTACTTGGGAGGCTGATGCAGACAGATTAGTTAAGGCTAGCCTGGGCAACTTACTGAGAGCATATCTCAAAATTAAAAATGTTTTTAAGGGTTCTGTGGTAGAGCACCTATGGAGCTATTCCCCAGCCTCAACCCCACCCCACCCCCCACACTTATTATAATGTATTAATTTTACTAATTTTTTATATAATGTGAAATGATATAAATCCAAAAAAGCAAAGATGACAATGTTACCATGAGCAGATGAAACAACCCCTGGTTTTATTTCTGCTTTAGCACTGTCAAAGGTTATTATTCAGAAGCTGATAGGCATATGGAAAAGGCAATGCATGCCAAGAGTGTAAATTCCACTCACAAAGCAGATTATTATAAAAGCTTTCAAACAGTATTTTCATAAAAATTTTTAGGATATGCAAAAATGTTATCACTCAACATCAGCCTCAGGATGTGAAAATAAATGTTCTTTTGTTCACAGTGGACATATGCCTTCTGTTGCTAGCGGTAACTGGATCTACCCAGGACAAAGAGTTTTGTCACTACTGAGAATTTGCAGTAATGAAGGCAGACACTTTTAAGAAGATATTCTCCATTCTACAATAGGTCATGCTTTCTTATTTGCAATTAATGCCACCACCAAGCTTCAAAGAATTCCTGAGGAAGGCATTTTAATATCAGATTAGCCTTGGAGCAGAATCTTATCAGTATGTACAATAGAGAAAGAGCTGAGGACAAATAGCAAATGCTAACCCCCAGACTACTCTGCAACACAACTAACCAAAGCATTTAAAAAAACAAATGCACAGTTTATTATGCTGATTTGTAATGATTGATTCATTGAAACATAATTAAATAAATTAGGAAACACTACTAAATGAACAAAAATATAAGGGCATTTTTCAATAGGTTCATATGTTAAATAAAAGAAGCAGAATCAAATGTCCCTAGCCATGGAGATGAGAAAGAACTGTTTTCTCTAATTTCCAAGTGACAGAGAAAGCCAGGCTGGAGTCATGGATCATCTTCTCTGATACAAACAAAATAAAACTTTAAAATTCATAAAAAAGACATCCCTGTGGTGTCATGTAGAAATAACTAAGAAAGAACTGTGATTTCTAAGTGGTACAAGAAGTGTATTGCGGAACAGCCCATGCCCTCTGCTTGAATTGACATTCCAAAGTGATACTGCTCTGGGCGTGATCATCATCGCCATATTCTCACTACTGCCTCCCTTGCCTGATAGCACTCTTTTGTCTGGCCAAGAAAAAGTCATTTTTATGCTCATTGGAATAATAACTGTTTTGTTCTTTATTCAAACCTTCAGCTAAGGCATCATCAGCATCAAGCAATGAATAGCAGCACTGTGACTGGGAGATTTAAGACTCCATTAAAATCCTCAGAACAAGCTTGATTGGAATGGAATAGTATTTTGCCTGAAAAGTAAGTATCAACACTGGTCTGTATTTCCTTCAACTCAAAGCAATGCTGAAGAAACAAGCTAAAAACTTTTTCCAAGGCAAAAGCCTGTGTAAAAGACAAACTCAGCTGCAGATTGTCTTTCCTTTCTTGGACAATTTTTAAGATGGCCTATTGCCATCCCTTCTTTTAGCAATCCCTATTAGCTTATTTCTAATCATATGACCCCCTCATGCTTTGGCTGCTTCCCAAAGCCTATTGATCTTATGGTTTAAAAATAATCCTCTCTCCTGGGATGATGGGAGGTCAGCGAAACCAGAGGAGAGGGAGATCTGTCAAGATGTTGGAGGCAGCAAAGCAAAACTGCACTGAAGGATAATAGGCAGTGGGAGCAAGTGAACCGTTTCACCCAGCTCTCCTACACCCCAGTTTATAACCCAAAGGACTCAATGTTCAATATTTTTAAAACATCCCAGGTTAACAAAAATCAGGCCACTTTCAATTATTTGTACTACCAATACTCCAACTGAGAATTTGAAGGTTAGTAACTAGAAAATATGAATAAAATAAAGGTACTTTTTATCTTAAGATGGTGTGTTACAAAGTAAAATGTCCTCATTCTATAAATAAATTAACAAAATAAAAGTATAAAGAAGTTATAAGACACTTAACACAACAAAACCATAAAATCTCTCCTGTCAGGGCAGGGGAGAGAGAGAGAGAGAGAGAGAGAGAGAGAGAGAGAGAGGAGAAGGAAAACAGGTCAGTAAAACTATATAAAATATGTGACAATTTTTAAAAAATTTTTCTTTAAAATATAGGATCCTTAAGAATAGACACTATGAAAATTTTATGCTCTCAAAATTCTAAGTCTGTGGATGCCAAGTAACCATCAAATTTCTAATTTTTTTTTATTATAACGTTAATTCTAATAGTGATCCAGATTATGATATGGGGAAAATTGTGTGTGTGTGTGTGTGTGTGTGTGTGTGTGTGTGTATGCCAAGAATAGCATTTAGATTCTTTGCTTTTTAAAAAGCTAAACAAAAAAGTAAACCAATCCAAATTTCAAAAGGAATGGATGAAGTTATCCCTAAAGAAGAATGGTCCAACAGTGAACCACTTGAATGCGAGATGGTCACCAAACAATAGTGAGGTATGATATCCCCTTAGGGAATGGCCAAAATTTCTGTTTCCTTCAGTTATCCTAACACTGTTGGTGGATGTGAGGACCAGGACAGAAGACATTGGCTACAAAATGGAATAATAATAATTGGCTGTTATTCTTCCTCCTTCAGGTTAATATTTATGCAAGACCATGAATCTGGCTCACATTAACAAAGCAGCTTCCTTTATTTTTGCTACTTTTAAGTAAGGACCAGAAAATGCCCATGACCTTCATATATAATAATTCTAAGTCTTTCAAATGATGGAATTAAGCAGGATATTTTGGAAGACTTTGAATGAAGAACCATTTAATTATCAATCAAATATTTGAATAAACCTGTAAATTAGTTAAGACACTTAAAAAATTCTCAGGAGTGGGAAACATGGAATGAGATTACACTTAAATATAATCAAAGTGGCTGGGAAAAATACGTAATACAACACAGCTAGGCTGATATTCCCTTTATGTGTGCCAGTAACTTTCTAATCTTTCTTAAGACCAGTTTTAAGAAGACCATGGAGTTCATGTATTCAAGAACACCCTAATGGAAACTTGTTTAATAAATGCCAAGAAAACCAGCCTTATTTTCAAATATTAATATGTCTTAGAGATATGAAATATTTATTTTAAGTTCCTGTGATCTGAAAATTACAAAGAGAATAAAAATTTAGGTTTTTTGTTAAGACTCAACCACCCAATAGAGAGAGGCAGGCAAAAAATATAACTATTATAGTTGTAGTCATTCTTCTGTGATTTTCCTTCTAGATTTCCCTTCATTTTTTATACTCTGAGGCCCCGAAGAAGTCAAGAATAAAAAACAGTTTATGGATGCTTTATTAAAAACACAATGTGAATTATTGTAGTTGCCAAATGGAACAGAATGAAATCTACAGAGAAACACATTTTACAATGAGGTTGCAGACAGAAGATGGCTAACTCTTAGAACACAGAGAAGAAAAAAGAAATTCACTTAAAACAAAGATACCCTTTCTATCTTTTTAGAATGAAAATACACACACACACACACACACACACACACACACACACAAGGGGAAATAAGGGATGCACACAGAATTTTCTTGCACTTTTTCTTTTTGCTTATATTGTACAATAAATTATAATTAAACCCAGGCTGAGCAAAGTGAGTAGCTGGTATGCTTCCAAATTCTCCCACCCATAAGCTAGAAGAGCAAATATGAAATGCTGAAGCACAGTTCTTCAAGTGGCGAATTATAGGCTGGAATATTTGTGAGAAACTGCAATTATATATTTCACGACACCATCTGTCTACAAAAAGAACAAAAAACGTTCTTATTCTATGTGGTTTGGACAGTTGGCTTTAAAAAAACTATATATATTCAATAAATAAATAGTTATTTACAAAGGCATTTAGGGTTCTCTGAAGTTACAAAGAAGTAAATGGTGAGTCTTTCTTTCTTTGCATTTATATTATTTGGGGGAGGAAACATTTTTTATTTAAGCATGCTATCATAATACATACTCAGAGTGTGTGCTCTCACATTTCAATTTCCACCAAAAAGGCCAACCACTGTAAATAAGTGTGGTGGAACCAAAATATAATCCCTCTTGCTGTGTTTTTGTGGCTAAAACCTATTCTAGTAATAGCACACCAAAATAACAACCAGATGAAAATACAAATGTGTATTATAAACCCTTAGTATCCATGCTTTTTTTCTTGGCTTACTCAGAACAAAAAGAAATCTTTCTGTTCTCCATAGCATCCCTGCAATAGTCTAAGTGATGAAGAAGAATGGTTGTCAGGGTCCATGGATAAACAAACAAAATGAAAACACAAAAAAACACTACAGAATTGTGAGGCAGTGAAAGCAACCATTGTTCAGGGGCATAAAGCATCATGGAGAGGCTGGCTAAACTCTGAGGCATTTTTACCCTTCCTCTGCAGAGCTGCTTTGGGTCCCATCAGAGATGGTAATTAATGCTCATTAGCATACATTAGCAAATGTTAATCAGTGTCTTCTAGAGAACAAAAGACAGTGGGGGCAGGGAAAAGTCACAATTAAAGGCTTAGTGGTGAGGGAGGTGTTGCCCCATGGAGATGCAGATGGAAGACACAGGACTGGGATATGTAGTTTCCTGGAATTTGGAAGTTCTGTCTTTCTGACAAATGGTAACAGCTCTGAGAAAGATAAAATAATATAGTTCATTTTTTTCCCTAAAAATAGAAATAAACAGGAAAAGAAAAATCAAGTCCTAAACTGAAATGAATAATTTTTTTTCCTGTCCTTTAGTTGTTTGGGGAAACATACTTGGTAGGATTTGCTACCCAACTAGGAGAATTACTGAACACAGTCATCACTTAATAAAAAGGAATCTAAATGCTAGGTGTCCTCATAAATTTATAAGAATTATGACCATCCATCCATCCCAATTTTTTTTTCCCACAGACTTAACTTATAATGTTCAGTAAGACTAAATCAGTAAGTAATTTCTAAATGGTCTGTAATGTAATTAAAATAGTTGACATAGAATGTAGTATACATATTAATTTATATCCCAGGGGAAGCTAGTGGCATCTGAGTATTCTACTTAGCATTCCATAATGTTAGAAAGGAGACTGAACCTCTGAAAAACTAGTCAGAAACATTTCAGCCATCTCTATCCCAGCTTAACATCAAATGATTTGATAATTGAAATAATGCCTATTAGAAATAAATTTTATGAATTCAATGTGACCAAAACAGGTAGTTTGGGTAAAAATATTTTTTCTGCCCTATGTCCTTAGCAGAACATATACTAACTTTGACATCCTTTTGGAATAGTAGGTACTCTGGACCTAGGAGTCCCAAACATTAATTGCTTGATTTTGCACATAATGAAGGAATTTGTTTTATAATAAAACTGTTATGATGGAGATATATTATTCCCACTTTCCAGATGGGGAATCAAAAAGCTAGAGAGTGTAAGTGGGTAGATAGCCTTAGTTCACACAGACAGTAAATGACAGATTTTACTTTTGCCTCAAAGTCACCCAAAACCCAGTACCAAGGCCCACTGATTTTATATCTGATAGGGAATATATAGATGTGAGCATTAGGAACATAAGATTGAGGGAATAATTCTACAAACTGGGCTCACTGTGCTGATCCCCAGGTTTTCTTTTTTAAAGAGATTTACCTGCAGCCCTGCCTGGCTTAAGTCAACAGGCTATACATTCCTCAGCAAACAACCTGTTACTGCAAGAGAAATGCAGGCCCCAAATGCCAATAAAAAGAACACAAGCTGCTCTGAAGGGGACTGAGTGGACTTTTGTGACCCTTACACAGACTGTATCCCAGAACTCAGGGAGATAAAGATAATTCCCCCTAACCATAAAATCTGTAGAAACAGGCTCCAATTAGATCCAGTCAGCATGGACCAAAATGACCTAGAGTTGTCATGTGCTATACAAACTTGAAAGTTTGATGTCATTCTGCTGTCAAAAGCCAGGAGTGTTCCCGTATGGAACACTCTGGAAACTCTCTGGAAATGTTAGGGAACAGACAGATGAGGATAGTGAAAACATAAGGTTTAGAGAATAATCCTATCAAGTGGGCCCACTGTGCTGACTGCTACATGCTTTCTTATCCAAGAAGCAACTTACCTATAGCCCTGCCTGGCTTCAGTGAACAAAATATGTCACATTCCTCAGCAAACTACCTGTTTGCTACAGGAGAAATGCAGGCCCAAAACAATGTTGATAAAAGGGAAGACTTTTGTAACCAGATTGTGAAACTCTGCAAGATAAGGATAATTCCTCCTAACCATACAATCTGTAAAAATATACGTTTAAGAATCCATTTAGAACCAGTCAGCATGGGCCAAGATAATCTAGAGTTGCCACAGCACTGAAGACTTGAAAGTCTGATGTCACCCTGATGTCAGTCAAAATTCAAAAGGTAGACCTGGACAGCATCTCTGGGAACTTCTCTGAGATCCCAAATAAAATTGGAATTCAGAAGAGGCACATTGTCCCTCTCCTCTCTGAGAGGGTCCACTCTCGCCCTTGAGAGTGTCCCTTTCCCCTTTCCTATCCCTCCAGTAAATTATTCCTATTACTCTGAGTGATATGTTTGAAATCTGACTTGGGTGCAAGAAATAGGGTTTGAAGAGGGGGTTTTCATATTGCCTCAGTTTCTCAAATTGCCACAGCTCTGAAACACTGGAATCCCAAATAAAACTGGAAGGCAGGAGGGGTGTGCCTTCCCCCTCTTCTCTGATACTTCCCCCTGTCTCCCTTGAAAGTGTCCCCTTTTCCCTTTCCTGTCCTGTTTTAATAACTCATGACTGTTTCTCTGAGTACTATGTCTGAAATATTTCTGGCATGATTGCACATTGACTATATGCAGTGGGATGCATCCTGGAGAATGGTTTTCCTGGGGCAAGAAGGGATAAATCAGTGTTCCAAGAAAGAAGAGATGATAACTTGCTTGCAATGTTCACAGTGGCTACTATGAAAAACAGATCAAGAATATTGTTATAAACTGGGTGTTAATTTTATATCCTGCTACTTTGCTGAATTCATTTATGAGTTCTAGAAGCTTTCTGCCAATTCACAATAGCTAAGCTATGGAACCAACCTAGATGCCCTTCAACAGATGAATGGGATTAAGAAAAATGTGGTATTTATATACAATGGAATATTACTCAGCATAAAGAAGAATGAAATTATAGCATATGGCAGTAAATATGTGGAACTGGAGACTATCATGATCAGTGAAATAATCCAATCCCCCCCCAAAATAAAAAGATCTAATATTCTTTCTGATGTGTGGATGATGATGCACAACAAAGGTGGAGGAGGGAAGAATAGAAGTTTATTTGAGCAGACAAAGGGAATGAAAGTAAGGAAGGGAGAATTGGAATAGGAAAAATAGTAGAATGAATCAGACAGAGCTTTCCTATGTAGATATATGAATACATGACCAATGAATTTCCTTATCATGTACAACTGCAAGAATGGTATCCTAATTAGAAGCAGTTATACTCCATATATGTATAATATGTCAAAATACACCCTACTGTTATGTATATCTAAAAAGAACAAATCAAAAACAAAAGTTTAGTAATATAAAAACCAAAAAGGGGGAGAGATTAGAGAAAGATGGTGGAATGGAGGGGTCGCTTCACTGGTAGAACAGTGGCTTGAACCAAGAAAAAAAGGTAGGTGAAAAGTGTTGGGAAAAGGTATAACGGCAGCCACACCCCAAAAACCCCAACATGGCGTCTGAGGAGCTTCTCTTCCTGCCTCTCCCTTTCCTGCTGGCGCCAATATTCAAATCCCGCTGGTGGGAGACCTTAGCCCCAATAAGAACTAACTTCTTGGGCTCCAGAACTGACATCTGAAAGAATTTACCAATAAACGGGTGATCCGTCATTTACCTAAGCCCTGCCACCTCTCCTTAGATCTATATAAGCCCACAGCCTTTTGTAATAAAGTGGAACCTCTTGGTGATTTGCGTCGTGTGGTGTCTTTCATTCATAGCGCAGTGTCTTTCAGTGGTGCCAAAACCCAGGAGACAGTGTGCTCAACAAACCGAGCCCCATCTCTGCCACTGCCATCACCACCAACACATTTTGCCCTCTTCTATCTTTTTGGGCGCTGGCTCCCTGCACTCACCACTGATCAGCACACTCCTGATGCCCAGTAGGGAGGAGGGAACCCACCCCACTAAGACCTTCACTGGCCGCAGTGGATCCTCTGGCGATCCGCTTCCCTTTGGGGCGTGAGGCTTCTGGGTTTACGTGAGAGGCTCCCTAGTTTCTTCCTCCCCCGCTAGAGCTGCGTCCTGCTGGAGCTATGTTCAGCTCGGAGCTGAACTTCCAGCCTGGAGCCACATTCTGCCGGAGCTGGAGCCCCATTCCTTTCATTCCTGACTCTTTTGCTGCATTCAGCTCAGAGCTGAACTTCCGAAAAACTTTCCTGACGTCAGGTTGCCCGCGGTCCCAGCCCTGTTGGCCTTACAGATCGCACTTCACTGGTGATGACCGGGTAGTGCCCTCTGTATTTCCTCGAGACAGTTGGTCATTTTGGGGACGCCCATTTGACCCCCGTTCGCCCTGAGCTTCTGGGAAGCTATTCCGGCCTGGGTTTTCCCTTTGTCTCTCTCTTATTCTTATTCTCTCTCTCTCTCCCTGTGACTATGGGTACCTCTTCATCTGTACCTGAAGCCTCACCTCTCAAATGTCTAATAAAAAATCTGGCCACACTCTCCCTCACACCAGACATTAAGCCCAAACTTCTGATCAAATTCTGTACCTAAGATTGGCCTACATATCCACTGGATAATGGAAATCATTGGCCTCCAGAAGGCTCGTTAGAACCAAATCTCCTCCGGTACCTTTTTAACTATTGCCAGCGCCTGAAAGGGTAGAAGGAGGTTCCCAGGTCTTCCAGTCCTGCCCTCTGCTCTCTACTCCCAACCTTCCCTCTGTGCCCTTCCCTCCACTCTTTATGTCTGCTCTCCCTCCCAGCAGTACCGCGTTGCATCCCCTTCCTCTCCCTGCTGCAGCTGCCGCCCGTGGCCCTGTCTGCGAACTTCCCCTCCTCTTCCTCCACGGAGACATCCCCCTCCCCTCCCTCTTCTTCCTGTCCACCACCGCTGCCGCCGCCAGTAGCCCTGTCTGCCACTTCCAGTCTGCCTGGCCACCAAACACGTGCACTGCTGCTCCTCCTTCCCGGTGCGGCAGGTGAAACGGGCCGGTAGTGCACCCTCAGCGGCCTGGAGAGGCCTCAGGATCCCACCTCAGCCGGCAGGCGAGCCACCATCCTTCACCTTCATTGTGCCATGGCAGCTTTCCTGCCAGCCCCCGACTCGCACGAGCCTCCCTTTGCCGCCTGGTTCTAACAGGCAGGCAGGAAGGGTCCCACCTGGCTGCAATGGGTGGGATCTCCAGATCCCTCCGAGCCTTCCCCCCCCAACTCTGCTCACCTCTTCTACTGATAAGCCCTTTCCCTCCCCCTACTCATGCCTCTCTTCTCCTGTCAGTGCCCACACCTGGTCCCACTGATCCCTCTTATCAGATAACTCACAGTTCCTTTGTCCTCTCAGGGAAGTAGCTGGTGCTGAAGGGATAGTCTGAGTGCACATCCCATTTTCGCTTCAAGATCCTTCCCAGATTGAAAAACGTCTTGGGTCCTTCTCTGCCGACTCTTCTGATTGTATTAAGGAATTCCGATATCTCTCCCAGACCTATGATCTTACCTGGCACGACGTCTATGTTGTTCTGTCCTCTACTCTGACCCCAGATGAGCGAGCCCGCATTCAGGAGGCTGCTCAAGATCATGCTGACCAAATTCTTTTAACAGATATGACCCTCCCCACAGGTGAAGCAGCTGTTCCCCTAACTGAACCTAACTGGGACTATCAAGATGGCCAACAAAGTCGACGTCACTGTGTTCGCATGGTCCAATATCTTATAGCAGGCATGCAAGCAATTTCTAATAAGGTAGTTAACTTTGATAAACTGAAGGACATTACCCAGAATCCTGATGAAAATCCAACCTTATTTCTCAACCGCTTTACAGAGGCCCTAACGAAACACACTAAGCTAGATCTTGGTCTCCCATCAGGGCTACAGTGTTAGCAACCCATTTCATTACTCAATTGGCCTATGATATCAGAAAAAAGAAAGAAAAAAAAAAACTCAAATGAGCTAAGGAGGACCCTCAGACCCCTATTTGAGATCTGGTAAAAATGGCTTTAAGAGCAGGTTCCATTGCAGAAAACAAAGGTAACACCCCAAACCTAGGCCTTAGCAGCAGCCCTGAGGCCTACATCTCCAGCAAAAGTTTCAGAGGGGAACCAGCATTCCTCTCCACCAGAGGCTTGCCTCAAATATGGATGTGAAGGTCCCTGGGCTCGCCAATGCCCAAACCCACGGCCTCCTTCCAGGCCATGCCCCACCTGTAAGCAGACAAGACATTGGAAGATTGACTGCCCCATGGCTGGCCCTTCCTCGGCGCCTCTATGCAGGGGTATGACCAGTCAGGCAGTCCCTTCTCCTGAAGTTTTGGGGTTCGCAGAAGACTGAAGAAGCCCAGATTCAAAGACCCCCTTAGCCCTCTCCGAGCCCATGGTAGTGCTCCAGGCAGCGGGTAAGTCCATTCCTTGTGGACACGGGGGCTACCTATTCTGTCTTGCCTGCCCATTCTAGGCCTCTGTTTCCTTCCCAGGTCTCAGTTATGGGGATTGATGACAAATCCTTTTCCCCAAACAGAACTGTAAAGCTGGCCTGTGCCCTGGAGGGACACCCATTCACCCACCCTTCTGGTCATTCCATCCTGCCCAGTTCCTCTCCTAGGCAGAGATGTTCTCCAATTATTAGGAGCCACCCTCCAATTACACCCCAAGAATACTACCACCCATCTCCTTCGGCCCTTAACTCTTACCCTCTCTAATGACCTGACAGTACCTACTGTGCCATTGCCCCTTGATCTAGTTGATCCCTAGGTCTGAGACATCTCCATCCTGACTGCTTTGCCTTCACATGGGAAGACCTTACATTCTTTAGGTTTCAACAGCTGACATGGACAGGCCTACCCCAAGGCTTCAGGGACAGTCCCTTCCTCTTTGGTCAGGCCTTGACACAGAATTTAACTGTTTGTAATTTGGGGATAGCACTCTCTTACAGTTGGATAGAAGCCTTCCCTACTTCCAAGAAAACTGCTAACACTGTTGCCTCCATCCTCATTGAGCAGATCATTCCTAGGTTTGAACTTCCTGCCTCCATCCAGTCAGACAATGGTCCAGCCTTCACTTCTCAGGTTGTTTAACTCATTTCCAAAGGCCTTAACAGCACTTGGAGGTTCCACATCCCCCACTGACCCCAATCCTCAGGTAAGGTTGAGAGTGCTAATGGCATTCTCAAGGATCATCTCACAAAACTTGCTATTGAACTCAGACTGTCCTGGCCCAATCTTTTGCCATTAGCCCTCACCCAAATTCAGGCAACCCCTAGAGCCCGCTCAGGCCTTAGGCCCTTTGAGCTGTTCTATGGATGCCTTTCTTAATCAACTAAAACTTTCCTGTCACTCCTTCCCCCCTTGTGTCCCACCTGCCCTATCTCATGCTTCTATTCAAACTCCTAAGAGAACACGCAGACCAGTGTCTTCCTGCACCATCTGTTACTTCTGTTCCAGCACAACCAGGAATTAAATCGGACCCTCTTCAACCGGGTGATACAGTCTTACTTCAAGAGCTACATTCTCAGTCATTGAAACCTCGCCAGACAGGACCCCATACAGTCATATTTCCACCTTGCTGAGACCCACCAAACTCAAAGTTTCTCACCAACCCTCTCCTGTTACTAATCATTAATCTCTCTCAAGCTTCTATCCCAACCCACAGATGGCGCTTCTACATCCAAGCAACATGGCAACAGGATGGCACCACCCGCTCTCAGTTTATGGGCCAAGGTGATTGGCATTTCACTGGCTGTAATCGGGCCCTTAATGTTACTGGATTCAACTGGGCCACCTCATCCCACTTGTGTTCAGCAATGCTATGCTTCATAGCAGATCAAACCGAGGAATCCTGTTGAAACCATATCACCAGGAGGCCTCCCCACCTGCTGACAACAAGACAACCCCAAAGGAACTTCAAGAGTCACCTCCTAGACCTCCCCTTTACTCCTGGTCTCCACATCCCAACTATCCTCTAAAGCACCTGTCCCGCACAACCACCCATACTCCACCATGATTCCCACTCTTCTAATTGGTATTTTCACTGTCATCACCCTTCTCCGGGGCCATCATCGTCCTCCTCTTAAACTAATGTAGTCAAGCTCACCGACCTGGCTACCTCTTTGAAAAATCCGCCAAACCAAAACCCATTTGCCACCTTCCTTTTAGCCAACTTCCAATCATGGCTGTTGCCTCTTTTAGGGCCCATATGTCTCCTTTTTCTGATGTGTCTGTTCCTGCCCTGCCTGCTTCACTTCCTACAGGGCCAATAACGGATTATCTCTAACCAAACTTTCAATCAGCTTCTACTTAGGCACTATCAGCCTCTGATGACCGATGAACCCCTGACATCGTCAAGAGAACAGCTCACTCAGTGCTGAAGCTCACTACCAGGCACAATGGAATGCAACGGATATCGGACAGCGGGAGACAACGGGCCCAGAGAACCTCTTAATCTGCCATCCTGGATTCTTGAGCCTTTATGTCCTTTTAAGCCCCCTCATGGCATTTGGCCTCTTCTCTATCAGTCCCCCAACATGGAACTTCTGCCCAAAACTGACCTTTGCTTTAATCTTTATCTTCATCCTGTTTTTGTTTGCTCTGATCTTCTTCAGGTGCTGGTGATGCTATGTCAAGGCAATGCTTCCAATATTTCCTGGAGTCTCTGTTATAGGACCAATGGCTGATACTAAC